ATCTAGTAGTGAGACCCGGAACACCCTGTAGACCTTCCCCTAAAATACAAAAAAATAATAAAATAAAAAAAATCAAGAAACAAATACATGAAAAGATGCCCAAGTTTTTGTACAAAGGCACAGTGTAATATTTTTTATCCACTGGATAGGCAAACATCAAGAAGTCCTATATAAGTACATGTCAAAGACAATTCTTATTTTTTAAAAGTTAAGTAGCTAATCCTGGTGGCAGACTCCTATATTCTCAGCACTCTGGAAGCTGAGGCAGGAGGACTGTCACAAGCTTGAGGTCAATTTTGGCTACACAGTGACTTCAAGGCCAGCCTGAATTATGCAGAAGGACTGTGTTTGAAACCCAAACCCAAAGACAATTGGTTTATATTTGTAAAATGTAACACTTACATCTGTTCCAGGGAATGGCACGCACAGTGAGGCCTATCTTGATCATTCTTGATCCCCTGGGAACACACGTTAATTAGCGTGACTGCTGTCATTTTGCGGTGTACACATGTATTACATCACCAGATTGTTTACACAGGAATATTCAAGTTAATATGCCTTGTTACACCACAACAGAAAGGTAGGAGTTTTCTCGGGGAGGTAGGGAAGTGTCTATGGGCTTGATTCTCTGTTTGGCAGGCTGGTGACCTCCTGGGGAAGCAATGAGCCTCATCCCTTTTACCTCAGTGTAAACCGCCTCTAACTATAACATCACAAGTGAACATGGACGTCAGAATGTTTAGGAAGAAAGGCCCTACAGAAATATCAACAAATACACATAGAAATAGTTGCGAAAGCACTAAAGACAGCAAGCGAAAGGCTTAGGATATGGGATATTTATGAAGTACTATGTAGCAGTGAAAATGACCTAACTATAGCCATACACAATTAGAGTATATTAATTCCAAAGCATAATGTAGAAAACAGCAAGCTTTAAATAATTCATAAGGAAGAGCTCTACTCATATAAAGCACAATATTCAAAATTTAAAAGGTTGTTTGGAAATGTATACACATGTATTAACACTGACAAATAGCCAGAAAATCATAATCATCATAATCATAATCATAATCTAATCATCTGTATGCAGAATGGTAGTAGCCTGAGGGCTAGAAGAACAGTGAGACTGGGATTGAGAATGTGCATGCCAGAAGCTTCGAAGGTTGGTATTGTGCATATTAAGGGGCGTGGGATTCTAGAAAACCTTTGGATTATGTCAATTTTTAAGAGCCATCCTTTTGACCATATTTTATAAAGTTACCCAATTTTTAAAAAATGGTACAAAAAGTAGTTATGATATGGCAAATCTCATTATAAAAAAGCTATTTATATAGCTATTTGTACATGGTTCGTTAATTCAAAGGTGAATCTTTTTCCAAATTTTAACACTCCTGGCATAACTACCACTTGATCAACAGTATCATGTCAAGATTGCTGAGAAAGTGGTAGTCATTATGCAGCTTACCAGGCCATGTGAGAGTTTGTCCAGTTTTTTTTTTTTCAAGGTATTAAGAAATATTAGTTTTTTTGACCAGTTTCAGCTGAATATTTATTCTATAAAAACTTTACAGATTGTTCAGTTTATATTTAATTCAAACTACTGAATGAAAAAGTAGGTCCCACAGATGCAAAAATACTGTCAATCAATCCAAAGTAAAGGCAGATTTATACACTCTACAGCTTTCCATGTAGCCGGGGAGGCTGTCAGTTCTAAGTATAAACTTCAAAGCTGCACAAAAATAAGGTTGTGGTTTTATTTTTCATACATTCAATGTGATTGCAAACCCAGAAGCCCAGCGACTCCCAGGTTCCTGCAGGGGATGCTCTTGGACCCGCGTGGGTACCATGCCGCGTGCACGGGGGCAAGGAACCAGGACAGGAGGTTGAGTGGAAGTTCTTTTTGTTTGTAAAGGAATCTCTGTATTTAGTAGTGTGCCAAAAAGAATTTTAACTTATAAAATACATTCTAAGTGAACCCCAAAAGTACACTTTATAAACATACCAACTTTTTTTTGCTGTAATACACCAACCATATCTGCAGATAGAAAACCAAAGCTGTATATAAAGTAGTATTCCATGAATTATTAGTTGGCTCAGTTTTGAACTATCCTTACTGTTGCCGCTTTACATTGTATGTATCATTTGTTCTATACATTTTGATGCTAAATACCAATTAAACGTCTTTGGAAGAGGGGACCGTGACTTGGCATTAAGACCGCTGCTGTGTGCTCAGAAAGGCAGAGCAGTGTTAGAGACACGCGCAGTCCGGGTGGTACCTGCGATTCCCTAAGATTTTTATTCCATACTTTCTTAAAAAGTGCTGGGACCCGCGGAAGAAAGGCGCCCACAGTGCGCGGAGGCGAACATGGCACATGGCAGCCAATGGCCAGCGGTGTGAAAATTACAACTCTCAGAACTGAGGGAAGACCTCAGAGCAAGGAGCTGCTATGACCAACTCACGCTTCCCATCCAGACTTTCATTTTTGTGTCATGGTTTTCCTCAGTAGTAAAGTGATGGTGCGTTCTATACCCTCCATGCTGGCAACTGCACTGCATGTTTTTGTTGTCTTTTTTTGCATTTTAGGGAAGAGTCTATAGGGTGTTCAGAGTCTCATTACTAGACTGGACTCGTAGTGATCCCCGTTTACAGCTTCCCAAGAGCTGGGATTACAGGTGTGGGCCACCAGGCCCAGTCTCAATTGCCAGTGCACCCCGGGGACGAGGCCTGCATGTCAGACCCAGGGATCAAACCTTCACCTGCTTGCAGGCGCTTTAATCCTTTGAGCTATTTGGCCGGCCCCTGCATGAGTTTTTGAGCTGACATAAATTGGAAAAAGTTTGGAAGATTATACACCGGATTAGTGAGGCTGTCTGATTTTGAGGATGGGTGAATTTTCCCCTGCCTTTTGCTTATTAATTTTAATTTTCCACAAGGAAGACCTTGTTTGTATAAGAAAAGTATTATTACTTAGAAACCTTAAAGTGTTTTGTGTGTGAATTGTTTAAAAAAAAAAATCACGTCAATGTGAGAATTGGCGGAAATCCCGCAGCCTTCCTCAGGCCACGGCAGGGCCCAGGAGGGGTAGAGTAGAAGAAAGCCTCCAACCTCTGGGAATTGGTCCCAGTCCTGGCCGCACTCACACCCCGCAGCCCTCCAGCTAGCCCAGCAGCCCAGGGCCAGGCACCCTTGCACCCGGGCTGCTACCAAGTCCAGTGAGTTCTGAAGCTTTGGTCAAACATCAGTTTTCAGGGATATCTAAGTTCACGTGAGTCCAGGGGACGGAAGAGCAAGGATTTATAATCTTGGAAAATGTGCGGTTAATCCACTAACCAGACTTCTCGCATTGTGCCTCCTCCTGCCCCTGGGCCTCCAAAGCAGTCTTCCAACCTTGCCTGAAACTCCCACTTCTTATTTATTTTGGTGGAACCGGGGATTGAACTCAGGCCCTTGCGCTTGCCAGGGAAGCGCTTATTTCACTAAGCCATCTCCCCGGCCCCCCTCCACTTCATATTTAAAAAGCAGGCAAATACCTCTGCCAGGAGTCAGTCCTTCGTCCTCTCCAAATACTGTGCTGCCACCACTCGCCAGGCATTTGTGTGGCCCCGGTTTGCTGTGTGGCTGCCGCCCATAGCGACCTGAGTCCGTGTCCCCAGGCCTGAGCACAGGCAGGGGTTTAGCAAATGTCCATCTGCCCAACAGAGCAGTTTCAGTTGAAAAAATGCTGGCTACAAAACCAGTTTTTCTTCCCGTAAGAGTGACTGTGGCGTAATCTGAAAAAACGTCTCTGGATTTCAGAACAGGAAGATGGCTAAGCAGTGACTTTAGGAAATGTACAGCACTCCTGCACACAGTGGTTAAATAAAAAATGGGGAAAACAGAATTTTTTCAGCACTTTTTCACCTTTGAGCCATCTCTAGCGTCTGATCAGTTGCTTTTATGGGCTCCAGGGTGTTTGAAGGGCAGTAAAATCCCCAGAGCCTGGGGCCAAGCTCTCAGCTTCCTCTTGGCCACAGCGGGGACTGCCTTGGGAAGGGCACTGTTACCCATTGGACACTACCAGTGGGACAGCCCTGGTGTCGGAGGCTCTTGGGCCCCAGAGGCAGCACCAAGGGAGACTGAGAACAGAAGAGGCACATGGGGAGCCGGCAGGGAGGAGGACGTGGCGACTGGGACCCCTGCTCAAGAGCTGTTGCCTTCAGCGAGCCTCACTTGACAGTACCCACTGCGGGGGGAAAGCAGGCGCGCCAAGAATGGGGAGGGGTGCGGGGCTGCTCAGTGGGTTACTACTGGGGCACACTGGTGCATTCTGAGCTAGATGTCTCGTTCTCCCTGTTTATAGTTCCACGACTGTGCTGGGAATTGTAGAATGGTTTGCACCCCTACCTTTCTTCCAGGGCTCCCTGTGGATGGTACCTTTCTACCTGGGCCCCCAGCCACTGAAAGCTACTTGGCGCTCCTGCTGGGTCCCCCATGAGAAGGTTCTGTGTGCAGTTCTCTGAGCTAGCTCTGGCTTCTCACGCAATCACACGGCCTCCTACGCCAGCACCGCAGGCCCCGCAGCAGGCAGCATCAATCTGTGAGCAGCGTTTGCACATGCAGCAAAGACTTACACAAATGGTGCTGGAACACAGTCCGACTCCTACCTTTGGCTTATTTTAAGAAAGAGTGCTAGCTTTCTGAGCTTTGGCTGAAATTCACCCACACAGATAATAAAAAACTCTCAAGTTCTTAGTCCAGAGATTCTTTCTAAAGTTAATTCTACCAAGACAGATGCCATAGCTGCATTTGAAAACGGAACAAAGTACCTAAGATCAGTGGCTTGTATCAGTGGCCTGTAGAGAAGAAACAGCTTACACAGGAAAAAGAATTCTTACCACTCAAGTTTTAGGGAAACATTTTATAATTTACATATAAAATCTCAGTAAGAAACCATGTAAAATGACAGAAATATCCAGCTTACATTGAAACAACAAAAAAGAAAAAAACAAAAAACCACATACACTGACTGTATATTTTAATTATAAAACAAGAATAAGAACAAAACATTTTAAAATAATCTCAATTATTTGGCAACTCATCACATCATTGCAAGAGACAAATTTGACCTTAATAAAAGTTTAATTTTATGAAAAACTTAGGTTGGACAATTTGTTCATATGGAAGTTAAAACATGTTTAAAAAAGAACCTGGCAATAAAACCAGCTTCATCCTGAAATAATTGTGTATAAAAACAACATGAAATCCTGGAGCTACGTAGGTAGGAGTGACCTGACCGGCCGTGGGCTTCCCTTTGCTGAGAGAGATGGGAGGAACCTCGGGGGCTTCCAAGAACATGAAGGGGCGGGCGCTGACAGGGGCCCTGCTGTGGCAGGAGACGGGCGGCTCTGCCTGACCAGGCTACCATCACGGGGCTGGTGGCAAAGTCACAGATGCAAGTGTCATCTAAAAATGAGTTACATTCTTAAAAAGCAGTCATGACTGTGACCAGAAAGCGGCGAGACCCTTTCTTGAGCTAAACTACTCGGTGCATGCGAGCTTCTGCACGTCCTGCTGGGTCAGTCACGGGCAGGCAGAGTCCTACAGAAGTTGCTACTAACGACTGCACAGCATTTAAAACCCTCTTTATTAAAAAAAAATAATAATAAAATAAAATAAAATAAACAGATATATAGTAAAGTTCACAGATAAGTTTTCTCTGTAAAATAAATAGTGTTCATTGATTAGCATCATACATAGAGTAAAATACAACCTATTTTTACATGTTTATATACTATACACAGATCACTGGCCGGCAGCCTGGTGTCTGACGGGCTGGAGGGGTTTGCCTCGGTGATGTGTCACATTGGGAAACCCCAATTTGAATGTTAAAATATACAACTACTTTGAGTTCAGATACAAGTAAACTTACTGTCCTTTATCTGAAATAAATGTACATGATGATATCTTCTATGAACAATAGTTTATAAAGCGGTTTAAAACAACAAGAAAAAGCTTGCACCTAGGAACTTACAGCCCATGCATATCTGTTTCTTGGTTAAAAAAAAAAAAAGAAGCCTCTGGCCATGAGGTTCATCCGTCCCTTCCACGCTTCCCCAGGGGGCCATGACAGTGGCGGTTGGGATTACCGCTTTGCCTTTTTTGTGGGGGCTTCCTCCACTCTCTGCTGGCCTCGCGTCCGTGCTCCAGGAGGGCTGACTTCTCTCTTGCGCTTGGTAGAAGGGGAGAGCTGTGTCTTTGATCTGCATGAAATACAAGTCAGGACGACAGAGTTAAAATTAAAAGTAGCTGCTTCAAATATTACAGGAGTTATTTAAATATGCAACAATCTGTACTTGACTGCTAAAAAGAGAGAATCCCAGTAACATTCATATGAGAAAAGGAGTCTGCGCTCGCTGGCTATGTGCTGACAGCTTCACACACACAAGACCCAGGTAGGTGTGGACAGCTGTGTCTGGGTCCAGCTGACTGCCCCGTTGTTGGCCTTCATCAAATCAGCTTTCCGAAATTCTATCTATAAACAAGGAATCAGCCGCTAGCCCTACCAGCACACGCACTGCCCCATGCAAGCATGCAGGACTGCGGGTGAGGCTGAGCGAGCACAGAACCGTGCTCCACACTGCAGCAGCACACAGCTCGGCTGGCAAAAGCAGTCTAGAGAGCGCGCGGACCGCTCCCTCGAGCATCCTCAGCCCTGCTCTTCAGTGAGCGACCAGAGCTACTAACGAGGACGTTAGTGATGCTATCCTTAGATACATAAACTCCACGCTGGCCCTGAAGTTTGTAGGGTAAAGTCATCTAGAGCACAGCACACAAGCGCTCCACTTTTTTTTTTTCCATTTATGTATTTGGTACAGGATCTCACCACAGAGCTTAGACTCATAGTGATCCTGTATTCAGCCTCCTCAGCGCTGGGATTACAGGCGTGTAGCACTATACCCGGACTCTGGCCATTTCAGCATGCAGTCCTGGGGATCGAACTCTGGTCCCTGCACTTGCCAACGCAGGTGCTTAGTCCGCTGAGCTATCTCGCCGGCCCTGTGTTCTACTTTAATAGCACTTTGGTTTAACACTGCTAAAGAACACCATTCCCAAACAAATGACCTCTTTTTATCACTTCATGCTTTGATATGTGATATCTTGCTTAAAAAAATCATCCTAACAAAAAATAAAAATCTGTGTTGGGAGGATAGTTCAGTGCTCTAAGCTCACTGCCTGGTAAGCACATGCCTGTACGCCCAAGACAGGAGGATCAATAGGCATCTGAGCTGTGTAGCAAGACCCTGTACCAAACAAACAAACATTAAAAGAAAAAAGAAAGATTCCCCCTCAACCACCTGATCAAACGCCTCTTCCCCAGTGGTACAGGGGCCTGAAACCAGGCAGCGCTGAGCACCAACTCCAGCCCTTTTCTATCTGGACACAAGGTCTTGCTGAATTTCCTGGACTGCCTTCCTCGGGCTCTTCCTGCCCCAGCCTCCAGCACAGCACCAGGCCAGCTGAAGATCCCTTACTGCTCACCTCCAGCTCAGAAGCCACGCCCCTGCACACCTCACAGCCCTCTGGCCACTACTGGGCTTTTCAACATTTATGTGCTGGCCTTTCTCAAACCGCAGGTCAGCCTCTGTTTTAGAGAAAGAGATTACGAGAACACAACAGCAGACACTGTCACTGCCATTGCATTGACTGCATTTGTGAAAATCCCACCTCGGGTACCGTGGGAAGGAGGTGCGCCCCAGGTGCTGCACAAGCACAGCATGTTCTTACTGCAGGCTGCTGTCAAGAGAGCCTCAGAGTCCGGCCTGTCTTGCTCTCCTATGAGCTGCTTCTCCAGGGCAGATGCTATGCTGACATGGATTCAGTTTGCTAACTCCAGTGCCCACTGCAATTTCAACACATGGTAGTAAGCAATAAACATTTTATCAGGGAATGAAAAGACACGGAAAAGCAGAAGTGCTAGAAAGGAAAAAAGGAGCATGCACTCTGTAGATGCTGCGGGTGGCGCACAGCGGTGCCTGTGGATGTGCCAAGAATGGCTAAGCCGCAGCGCTTGCTCTCCAGGTGCATCCATTTACCTAAAAGTGCCGCAAGTTTCACCTTTATGGCAGAGTAGTAAGTATTCCACTGTACACCATAATCTTAAGTGAAATAAATCAGGCACACAAGCTCAACTGTGTCACTGCTTCTCTTGTGTGAGAAGGCCAAAGGGCAAATAAAGACTGAAATGAAGGACAAATCACAGCAAGGAAGAAATTGTGCAAGTGGGACAGAGAACATGGGAGGGGGCAATTGGGAAGAAAGGGGAAAGAAAGAAAAGAATTAAAAATGGAAGCAAAGCTTTTGTAAATAGGGAGGGGAAGAAGGATTGAAGGGAAGAGAATGGAAGGAGTGGAGAAACATTACGTACAGGTACAAATTCCCCAGGATGAAAGTGATCATTCTGTATAGCAAACATGTACTTAAAAAGAGTAGTGCTTGTTAATAAACTGGCAAGTAGAGCGGTCACTCTCAGACTACAGACGCTGTGCGCCAGGGCTGGCACTGCTGTGTCAGCAGCGCCGAATCCCCACCTGCCTTTCGGGCGGGCGATCCCTCTGCACGGTCCATTCTGAGGCGTGTGCGTGCACGCATGTGCGTCTCCCTGAGCTCCCTCCCCTCACACATGAAACAAATACCGTGCTACACTTCACATATTGGGGGGGGGGGAGTTGATGGGAATCTGCTCTCCTTTCCTTTGAGGACAAGAGATAACTGTGTGTTATATTACAAATGTGTTGTGACAATTAAAATGTGGTAAGAGTCATCAGAAGTTTTTGGACACACTGAGCCATCTTTCTTTGATTTTGGAGAGATATACTGCAGATCTCAATGAAGAGTGGAGGGGACAGAATTTAGGTGCTTCAGCCAGTGCCAACTGCAACTCTTCCCGCAGAAAAGCAGCGTGGAGACAGGCGGGCCTTGGTCTCCACAGAGCACAGCCCAGGGAGCAGAGACCTCAGGCCGCAACAAGGTGCAAGGGACGTTATCCACAAATAGTCCCAGGGTTCAACATGACTTGAGGTGTAAGCAGGGACTTACCTTCCTAACAGGGGAGATTTAATAACTTTTTTGTTGGTAGGTAACTTCTCTTTTGCTAACTTTTGGCAATTTCTAGGAGAAACTGTGTCTGGACTGCCCAGTTTGGATGTTGCCCGTGCAGATAGCTCGCTATGACGCTTTCTGAAACAGCTTATACAGACACCAAGCAATGGTCACGCTGAACCCTGGGGACCATTTAGAAAGGATGGGGCTGCTCATGGGCCTGCAGAGAGAGTGGTGGGGAAGGCAGGGAATGGCTGCTATCTTGACCATCGCTAGAAAGCAGAGCTTGGTATCGTTCAGGACCACAGCTACTAGCATGACTCTTACTGAGCATGGTATTTACCACGTCTTAGAAAAAGAAGAATCAGAGACACAGAAGAGAATACCGAAACATTATGCTAAAGTAAGGGTATCCTAACAGCTCAGAATAGAATCAGAAGCTGAAGACTGGGTGTGGTGGCGCGCGCCTGTAATCCCAGCTCTTAGGGAGGCTGAAAACAGGAGGATCACTATGAGTTCTGATCTATGTAGTGAGACCCCACAGACCCTGTAGACCCTTACTAAAAAATACAAAACTAAATAAGTAAATAAATAAATTAGCAGCCAATTCATGAAAGCATAATTCACAGGGATAAAAGGCAAAGTTCCTAGAGTCAATAGCACAACAAAGAAATCAGATAAGGGAAGATCTTATCAGTAAAAGCTCTAGGCAAAAGCTCTTGTTTAGTTCAAGGGAAGGCAACTCTGACTTAGATACCTACAAGAAGATGAAGCACAAAAGGCTGAACAATCCTCTTCTAGATTCGCGAGACCACACTTGGTATAAAATACCTACTTTTTAAAGAGAATGAGCTCAAGAGCGTGAATAGGGATGATGAGAAGGCCCAACACAAGCAGCAGCTGCCACCAAGTACAGAAAGGAGAATTACACGTAAGTCCCCAAGAGTACAAGGAGAACCAAGAACAGAAGGTAAGAGGGTGGCTTCACTGGACACAAGAAACTGGGGGAGAAGGCCTTCCCCTACCCTCTGATCCGTGCAAGAGCAGGAGGACTGCCCAGCAGCTGCTGACCAAGTGGCCCAGGCACTGGTAGATCTCACTACCAGATGACCAGTGGGGACACTTTCAACTCTGAAAACCTGGGGAATTACAAAGGGCCAGAGCCCTGGAGCCAAGCACCCAATGCTGAGGAATTGAGATCAAAGAAGAAAAGAACCGACTTAGAGACAAAGGTGGTTATCAAGCAACTAAGTTAAATCATTACTTTTGGAGAACACTTTCAGGGAGACAAGTGTCCCAGCCTCATTTAGATCCCAGTGGGCAGCAGCTAGGCCTGAGGGGCCTGCTTTAGTGGAGCCCTCTGCTACTAGCCATGCTGCCTGGGCTGTGCAGGAGGAAGCCCTGAGCTGGGGACGCTGCACAGGTGCAAGGCTGAGCTCTAGGAGGCCCAGCGCCCTCAGCAGGAGTCCTCAGTCTCCGTGACTTCTACTTGTCTGAGTTGCACAACCACAAACACCCAAGAGGCCGGGGAGACAGCTCAGTGGCATAAGCACCTGCCTGGCAAGTATAAGGTCCAGAGTTCTGTCCCTGCTACTGCAAAAAACCACAACAACCAAATACAGGACCAGTTTCTCTTTGGTCACATGAGCTCTTGGAGTCTTAGGCTTTAAAGTCTGATGCTCTGAGAAATGAAATCTTGGCACCAGTGGCTAATACACATAACTCTGAATTATATATTACTTTTCTTATGGCGCTGGAACTTGAACTCACACTGATAATAAACTCCACAGTCCTTTTCATTTTGAGACAGGGTCTTGCTAAGTTACCAGGATGGCCTACAACTTATGACTCTCCTGCCTCCCTCCTGAGTAGATAGGATTACGGACCTCTGGCACCATGCCTGGTTTATGATGGTTACTATCACGATGAGAGGTGTTAACAGTGATACTTCTTCTTCTTCTTTTTTTTTTTTATGAGCAGAATATATTTATTAAGAGAAAGAAAGCTCCTGTCCCGAGAGAGGGAAGGGGGGGGGTCCCCCAAGTGGGTATTTCCCCCCAACAGTGATACTTCTTGAAATGAATATTCCTAAACTTTTTCATACATTTTGGTAATAAAATTATATATTATGCTAAAATTAATGATGAATCATCCTAAAGACATAAAACATTCTTGCTTTGCAGAAAGTTACTGAGAATTAGGATGTGACTACAGCCATCAATCACCTCTCAAAACATGTCCTGAAAAGCATGCTAGCTGGTGTCAGTGCAATGTCGGGGCTGGTGGTCGGCGAAGGAGAGTGTAACTGGCCAGGCCTGCTAGTTTAAGCGAAGTTACACAGGACTCCTTCCTTCAGGACTCTGCTGCACCTGCACTAACCCAATGGACACTGAGGAGAGAATCCTGGCTTCCCAAGCTTGTGTCCACTCTTTTTCTCCCTCAGACTTTTGGGTCTACTAGGGTCTGAGACAATACACTTTGGGCAACATCTGGAATTACCATCTACATGAGTAAATGTAGTTATTTAGTATCTATTAAACATTGCCAAATCTGGGGAATTTCCTATGATCAATGCAAAGGATGACAGCATTGTGACAGTGTGTGTCCCTGACTTCCCTGCTGCCTGGCATCAGGCATGCTGAGCGAAGGGGCCATGTTTGCTGTGTCTCTCCACTCATAGACCTCAGCAGTGTCTGAGACAGGAGATGCCCCAAAAAGATTTACGGAAGAACTGATGGGTTCCACCAAAAGCAATCACAACCTGCAAAGACTCTGAAACAGCCCCAGATAACTGCAGGCTGAGACTGGCTTCTCCCAGAAGATGCAGAATGGCTGAGGGCTGAGAGCACACGGGCCCTCCTGAGGACAAGAAGCAAAGAGCTTCCCAAGGCGGCGGGAGTGGTGCTGCTCCAAGAGAATCCCACAAAACCTGGAGCTGTTTCCAGCAGAGAAACTGGCGAGGCGGAGGGCAGCGATATTACCTCTGTGCCTCGGACCTGGTGGAGGACCGAGTGGTGGCTCCCAAGGGCTCATCCTCTTCCTCTTCTTCCTCTTCCTCCTCAGACTCCTGATCTTTTTTATCCTCAGTTGTTTCAGAAAGCAGTTTCTGGCGTTTTCTTTCCGGCTCCGAGGATTCTGTTCAGATATAACAGTAACACCTGGACTGTACAATTCCCAAAGACACTTCCACAGCAGAGTCATGGAGTTCAGAACTTAGGGTATTATGGACTTGGAGGCAGAAGAAGTGGTTTTCCACTTCCTTTTAGTTTCAGCACTTGCAATTCACAACTGTTTAACTTAATCTCAAACACATTTGGGATAGTTTACTTATGTAGTTCACAGCCAGCATTGATGAAAAATTCACATGTACTCAGAAAAGCATCTGGAATGTAGCATTTCTGACACAGGATTAGAGCTATTTCACATATATTTGCGTAATATTAATATTAGCTACATCCCACTGGACTTTTTCTCACCCAAAAAGAAAAAATCTTTTAAAGAAAAGGATGGCTATGAAATAATAAGACTCTGATAGAGAATATGCTAAGGTCATACCAGCATCGTCTGACAGAGTGAGCGAACGTTTGGGCTTTCTTCCTCTCCGACGAGCACTTGCTGTTTTTTCCTCACTGTCTTCCTAGAAGTGGTAAAATTACAGTTGAGAGTGTGATCAACCGAACATTTTTTTATTTTAAGGAAGGGTCTACAGGGTGTTCAGGGTCTCACTACTAGATCGGACTTGCAGCGATCCGCCTGTTTATAGCTTCCCAAGAGCTGAGATTATAGGCAGGCGCCACCATGCCCAGTCTCAATCGCCTGTCTCAGCGCTCTCCAGGGGCAGGGCCAGCACAGCCGGCCTGGGGATCCGGCCTAGAGCCCCTGCACCTGTTTGCAGGCGCTTTAATCCACTGAGCTATTTGGCTGGCCCAATCAACCGACCATTTATTAAGTTTATTTCTAATGGATATATCTTGATCAGAAAACTAACACTTACACTGCTTGTACTTCTTTCTTGTAGGTTAGCTGTTTCTTTATTAGACTCATCTTTAAGAAAAGGAAAATCTTTGCATTAATATTTATTAAATTCATTTTACTATTAAAATTAAATAGTCTTGCTTAACCATTAAGATACCAGTGCTAATTAATAATTTTTATATATAGTTTATCACAATCTTGTATCAATCAAACGAAGATGAAATGAAAACACCTAGCAGGTAGCTATCAGCATGTAAATTAGGAGACTGACGTTTTCATTTAAGACTTGCGACAAATGTGCTATGGGACCTGGGTAAATTATTCAAAATCCCAAGCCTCAGTATCCTCATCTGTAACACAGGGAGCTGTGAGATCAGCTTTTTGGTTCTTTTCAGATCAGATGTTCCCAAGGGGGAAAGGAAGGGGAAGTGGTGTAAAGGGAGCCCTGAAGTGTCACCAGGGACTACAGGCTGGAACAACTCATAGGCTGAGGATCAGTCCCTTATCTAAAATAAAATACTTGGGACCAAAAAGTCAATTTCATAATTTTGAATATTTGTATATGAGGCACCTTGGGGACATGAAATTCATTTATATATTTCATATACATTTTATGCACACAGGCTGAGGCAATTTTATGCAATCTTAATTGAACCTTTGTTTGGACTGCAGATGAAGCCTTATCATGAGATCTGCTGTGGAATTTTCCACTTATGGTGTCATACTGGTACTTCAAAAATTTTGGGTTCAGGCCATTTGACCTACACTTTCACAATATTACATTATGAATATTTCTCAAATTTCCACGAATTCTTTCTTTTTTTTTTGGCGGAACTGGGGATTGAACTCAGGCCCTTGTGCTTGCCAGGGAAGCGCTTATTCCACTGAGCCATCTCCCCGGCCCCTGACCTATACTTTTAAATCTTTTTTGGCAGAACCGGGGATTGAACTCAGACCCTTGCACTTGCCAGGCAAGCGCTTATTCTACTGAGCTGGCACCGATACTTTAAAATCTCAGCATGGCTCTGTAACTATTATAGCTTGGAAAAATCAGGTGTAACTTGATTTTCACCATTTGTTCAGGGCCACACAACTACTAAACTGAAATTTCAATTTCTTTGATGACAAATATACCATGGCAATTAAAAAAGGACATGCAATAGGCCAACTTATAGGCGAGGCCTTATTCATTATGTATTTTTTTTTTCTATAGATGCTTATTACACTTTTCTGAGAGTGAATCACAGTAAGAAAAATGAAGATTAATCAATGCAATACTTGAAGCTAAAATCTTGGGGTGTGCTTACAGGCACTCAACCCAAGTCTTCCTGTTGATGCTGACAGCTACAAGGAGTACCGCCCTCTGCTGCAAGTTCAGTTTGCCCACCATGAGAGCCAGCAAGGGGTCCTTTACTCTTTTAATCATCACCAGATTCAGAAAAATACTGTCAGATAATCCTATAACATAATCACAAAGCTTACACTGGAATCTGTTAAAAGCACACAAATTAACAAGATTTTTTGGTATGGACTTAAATGTTTTAAAAGCATTCCTAAGAACCAAACATAGAGGCTGGGGAGATGGCTCAGTAGAATAAGCGCTTCCCTGGCAAGCGCAAGGGCCTGAGTTCAATCCCCGGTTCTGCCCAAAAAACCCAAATTAAACATAAGTAAAATTCTTCCTCCTTTAAAAAAACAGAAAAACGGGGACCTGCCCAGCAGCTCAGTTGTTTAAGTGCCTGCTTAAACAAAGCCCTAAAGCTCAAGCTTCTGGGGTTCCAACCCAGACAGACACTGCAAACCAGAAATGCCCTAAAGGCATTTGGAGTCAAAACAAAACAAAACAAAAAAACAAAAACCAAAAAAACAAAACCCTTCTACCATTTTTGGGGGCCTGGCCCTAGCTCAGGCCTTTAAGTGGCTGCTTCCACAAAGCTGTCAGCCTCAGGTTGCTGGAGTTGGAACCTCACACCTCTCCTGCTGGCCAAAAGTGCCCTGAAGGCATTCGAGGAAAAAAAAAAAAAAAAAAAATCCTTATGGGAGCCTGGGCCTAGCTCAGTCCTTTAAGTGGCTGCTTCCACAAAGCTGTCAGCCTCAGGTGGCTGGAGTTCGAACCTCACAACTCTCCCGCTGGCCAAACGTGCCCTGAAGGCATGCGAGGAACATAAAAAACAGAAAAACTGAAGTATAATCAAAAGTTCATATAGTAAAATGCAGAACAAATTTTATACAGATATTCTATATACCTTTGCTTTACCTAGCTGATAGATTATGTATTCCTAAATTGACTTATCTGATGAAAACAGCTGTCACATTAATCCTCTGTGCTTGTTTGGCAAGTGGGATCAAATCCAGAGGCACTGCACTATCGAGTTAACAGCACCAGCTCTTTTTAGGGACTAGATTGCCAAGGCTGATCTTGAACTTGTGATCCTCCTACCTCAGCATCCCAAGTAGCTGAGATTACAGGTGCGTACCACTGTGCTAAGCTTCCTTTTTGTTTTAATCAAGATTTGAAAGCCCACAAACTGCTCTTGGTTTTACATTAAAAATTTCAAACTTTTTTTTTTTGGCAGAACCAGGGATTGAACTCAGGTGAGTCATCTCCTTGGCCCATGGAACTAATATATACACACTATAAAATATCTGGAAACTGCCTATAACAGCTGCATAGTAAGGAATGGGCCCATCATCCTGTTACCCACAGTTAATCATTATTAATATTCTGTAATATTACTTTCCTACTTGGAATGACACAAAATACTTGAAATGAGTTCATTTCTTGAGTCCTGGACTGTATAAATTAACTGCACACCTGCTTTCAAAATTGTTATTCCTTTGGGAACAACATGCTCCTGATTTTGTGTGTGTTTTTTTTTTTTTTTGCAGTACCGGGGATTGAACTCGGAACCTTGTCCTTGCCAGGCAGGCACTTATGCTGCTAAGCTATCTTCCCGGCCCTGAATTTGTGCATTCTTGATAATAATGCCCAATAGCAGGGTGATCTATTTCTTAAGATACTTTGGACACTATAATGCAAGTTTTTTATACAGAAGGAGTGTTTTGATTTTGCTACCTTCCCCTCCTCTATGAAGGCCTCCCAGGCTTCTTAAAGAAAATGCCAGATTACAGAAAAAGAAGAGTCAGCTATAAAGACAACTGTTTTTACCAAGAAGCCCACTCATTTCATTGAAAAACAGAAGGAAAGCTCAAGCCTTTCCCTAACAGCCAGCCTCCCGGGCTCACTTAGGAAAAAACATTACTTATAAAGTCAGTTTGTAATTATAAGAAAAGAAAAAAAAAGCCAGTTTGCAGATTTCTTGAGTGAAATGAAAGCACACCACACCCAGTTTCTCAGATCATATACAGAGAAATGCTCTAGGTACGCACCTGCTTGCATTACTTTCAGTTTGCTGCTAGGTGTAGGCTGCTCCACCTAATTGCAAACAAACAAAACAAGGAAATCAATCTTTTTGTTATCACACAAAAAGGCAGAATACTTATCAGGTCTCTATTTATTAGTAGACAGAATGTCTGGAATCTATGCTCTGCAGCTGGCCAGGTACACTCAGCAAACAAAGAAGCCTTACGCTTCTAACGTATGGTCTCTGCCACGAGCTCCCCTGCTCCGTCGGCTGTGAGGCTGGGCATGACGACCGCTGACGATCCCCAGGGCCGGTGGTCTTCTCACATGCTGGTCAGCAAGCTCACATGAATAAGGCTTTATCTGGCTGTCTTATAACAATTTTAGGGCCAGTGAGATAGCTCAGCAGTGTAAAGCGCCTGCTTAGGCAAGCGCAGCGACCACAGTTCAATTCCTGGCATCACTTGCTGTGCCAGACCCACCCCCAAGGTGAGCTGAGGCAGCCACAAACAAACAAGAATTCTAAAACAGTGATACTGTAGGTGTCTTTGTACACTTTATAGCCAAGAAAATTGAGTCTCCTGTAACTAGACCCAAGCCACAGGTCTAAAAGTAAGTGCCAAAGCGTTGAACCCTAAAAGTACTTCCCTAGGTCACTGGACACATATCTGTCCTCCTTATAATGCTGTCACTGAGATGCAGGCAATGACATCCTGACCCAGTGATTTCGCTGGGTATACACTTTAGTGCCACAGTTACGGAACTTTAAAAAAAGAAATGAAGTGTAACAGAGAATTCTCCTGTAATGATACACATACTAAATGTACATATTTTAGTAAAAAAATAGTACCACAGAAAGCAGAGAGATACTAAGACCCTTCAGAAGTTTCCATATAAAAGCCACTATCTCAAAATCATGTATAAGAGAAAATTTATTTTAATCTAGGTTAATCGGGGGCTAGGGAGATGGCTCAGTGGAATAAGCGCTTCCCTGGCAAGTTCAAGGGCCTGAGTTCAATCCCCAGTTCCACCAAAAAAA